TACGATTTGTCAAACCACATTTTAATTCTTGTTTTTCTCTTTCAGCTTTATTTTATTTTTATTTTTCGTTTTAGCTGCGTTTGCTATGCATTTGGTAGGATTTTTTTCCTGACAATTCATACCAGTGCTCACAGTTCACAATATAGGATGTTGATGTGAAGATGGTTACAAGTGAAAAGTTTGAGATCAAACGATTTAACAGGGGAAGTAATTTTAATACTTGACAGAGTATTGTTGAATATATTCTCATGCAACAAGGACTTTACATGATACTTATTTTTTTACTTAACCAATACATGCGATGTGCTTTATTGAAAGCAAAAACAAACATAGTACATGACGCAGAACGGAAGTTCAAAGGTTTACTTGTGTAAACCCTAAGCTCGTGAAAACTGAAATCCGCCAAAAAATAATAGCAACCAAAAGCGAAATCTGTCTTATTTTGATAACAAATAGCCTTTAAATAGTCTCTGGAAACCCTAATTTAAGTAAAAGACCAAAATAGACATCCATTAAATCAAAACAACTAAAAACGCAAAAACTAAAAAAAAAAAGGATAAAACTTCAACTACCCGCCAACGTGTCTTGAACAGTGAATCTGAGGATGGAAACGACGTCAACTAGGTAGCCCCTGGTTGGGACGATATGGAGCACTAAATGATCTTTCTGAAAACATATTATAATGGAAAATCTGGTACCCGAACTAAAAGTTATGCCCGTTTCTTCGAAGCAATAACTTTTTTAACCAATTTTCTATCCATCTCTTATTCAAACTCCAAAGTTAATTGTCCTACATCAATACATACATAAGAGGGAGACATGACTACGTCTTGAATTTTTTTAGCACTATCGGAAATGAAGTACTCGGTATTTCCTTTCCAGTCATGTGAATTTATTATTTTACTCAAAATTTGGAAAGTCCGTAGCTTCTTTCCAGTTTCCCTGAGTATGCAAAAGCATCCCAGCATATTCTCTTGTGCTTGCGTGAACCACTTTATTATAACCTCCATAACGAGTCCCGTATTGCTCAAATCATTTTCAGTTAGATGTTGGACCAATCTCAAATCAACCTCCTCCAACGATGTCCCAAAACCTCTAAAAAGCCACTCAATTGTACCAGGGATTTAAACATTGTTAATCTTATCATGATTTTCATTGACTTGGTTGATCGAGCTTGCATCAGATTTATCTGAAAGTTGTCCCTCTGACTTTTCAACTTATCCTCCAATAATACTTTTAACTAAATCTTCTTCCACATNGTCCCTCTGACTTTTCAACTTATCCACCAATAATACTTTTAACTAAATCTTCTTCCACATGATTTGCTGAGGTAAGCGTGACTCATGATCGTAGTAGTTATAGATGCCACATCCATTGATCAAAATTCATATCAGATGATGGTTGAAACTTTATTAAAACTTAAACTTTATAATCTTGTCAAGATCTTCATGTCAAATCATTAAGAAACTGAATTAACGCGGAACATACTTTAATCTATTGATTTCTGACTTGAATGATGAATAATGAATCTTGATCTATAAATCTTCAATTTGGTTGCTTCAANCTTAATTTTAAGATAACATTTATATACAATTAATTACATATATTGGCCCATCATGATAAATTAAATAATTTCCCAACAATGATGACATACACAATAAGAAATTAGTGTATCAGGTAATTTGATCAAGGAATATTTTATGATTAAGTCATAAGACTGAGATGATTACTTGTGTGAAAGAGTATAATATTCATTTGTTTAAACTTTTGTCATGTTCACATTTTCTCGAGTCCAATTTATCCACTAGTCAAAGTTTTGAAATTGACCAACATCCTTATTTGGTTATCGCAGACAATCATCAAATTTTTTTTATTCAACAATTAAACTTTAAGAACGCGTTGAGAAATCGTGGAATATATGAATTCACACTTTAACCAAGTCGTACTCTATGAAATATGGAATTGGGCGTTCTTTGGCACCATATTACAAAGAGTTTCAGGGAAAAAACTTCGAGCTGTAGCTAAATACCTCTAAAAATTTGCCGTTCTTTCAAAATGTCCCCCGCTTAATGCTGAGAAGGTTGAGTTGCGTAATAATAGATTCGTAAGTTAATAAATTGTCAGATAAAAATACATTTATATCTCTAAACATTAAAACGAGCATTTGGAAATCGCTAAAAATTTGATCACTGTGCAAATTTCATGCCCGAATATTTTCATAATTTAGCCCCTATTTGGTCACGATTAAAATATAGATATTAATCTAAATCAGAATTAACAATTAATTTTAATCACATATTTCATGGAATCCACAACTTTTCAACTATACATTTGATCAAATTTTATCAAAATCTACTAAAAAATTGATTTTAATCCTCACCAAAGCATGACAATAAAGTGAATGAGATGATGAGTCGTAGGATCGTTCTTAAATTAATTAAAAAATAAGGACGGTTTGTAATCGTTGTATACAAATATAAATAAAAGCATAAAATAGGAGCAAAATACCATCAATTCAACAAGCTATCTGCGTACAGCCTTCCACGTACAGACAAACATTTGTCAAAGTTGAGGCATAGACTATCGCTTACAAAGTTGATGGCTACGAATATCAACGAAACCAATTTTCCCATTTCTTAGCCAGAAAAACATGGCATCATTAGTTTAGAATCTAGAATATAGAGAAATATGGATCCGTTTGATAGGTAAGGTGGAGTAGAATTTCAATTCCATGTTAGTTGAAAAATAAAAACTCACTGAACCCATATGAATTCGTTTTCCATGACAACAAAGAAAATGCAATTTAAAGAGTTGTACTTTAAAATTCGATTTCTATTTCCAAATTGCAATCAAACGGTTAACGTGAAGTTCGTTTTCCTCAAATGTAACATTTTCCATGAAAAATGTGGCTATGAAACATGGCATAATACTTCAAGACTTGGTTGGCGGTCAATACGAGTTTGCTCAGGCATAAATTTCCACAAAAGAAAGATTATTATAATATGCAGTGCAATAATTAGAAAATGGATTCACTTTAACAATGCAAGGATACATTCTTTCTATCAAACAAAATCATGATAATCAGAAAGCTGATGAATCCCTTTGTTCAGCCAGATCCTCGTCCGAATAAAAAATTACTCCACAATGAATTTTGTCATTTTAGAACCATTATAGTTGTAGTCCTGTGTCTTTCGAGTTATGGGGTTTGTCTAGAAACAGGCATCCTTACACCCAGTGTAGTACTCAGAGACTCCGATACCATAGTTTCCCAAGGAAAGGTCTTCACAATGGGATTCTTCAGCCCCAACGGAACCACCAGACGGTACATAGGCATATGGTATTATGTCTCCAACGTATCTGTCATGAGGGTTGCCAATCGAGATCGACCTATCAATGATACTTCCGGGTCTATAACAATATCCTCTGACGGTAACATCGTACTAATGAATGGAAACAACGAGACAGTTTGGTCCACAAATGCTACAACTTCCACGAGCAACACATCTGCCCAGTTAACAGATAATGGAAACCTTATTCTCTTCGATCAGTCGAATAATGTTTCATTATGGGAAAGTCACAAGCACCCAACGAACTCTTTTCTGCCTACGACGAGATTAAGCCACAACACAAATACAGGCGAGAAAGTAAGGCTAAATTCGTGGAGAACTTCTCAGGATCCGAATTATGGAAATTATTTCGTGGGACTCCACGTTTCAGTAGGCATTCCACAACTTTTTACGTGGAATCAAGATCGTCCATTCTGGCGGAGCGGTCCATGGAATGGTCGGGTTTTCACCGGAGTAACGAGTATGTACTCGGTGTACGTTGATGGATTCAATGTTGTAAATGAAGGTGGAACATACTATTTTACTCGAAATTTTCGTCAAAACTTAATAGTGAAAGATTTTTTAAATCCAGATGGTATTTTGATCGAGGAAGTATGGAATAATCAGATGGGTTTTTGGAATAGATCGTTTAATGGTCCGGATGTCCCTTGTGACGTATATAACTACTGCGGTCCATTTGGGTTCTGTAACCAATATAATTCTCCAATATGTCAATGTTTGAGAGGGTATGAACCAAAGAATAAGCAGGAATGGGATGGAGGGAATTGGAGTGGTGGATGCAAGAGGACGACGCCATTACAGTGTGAAAGAGGTAATAATGCTACCGACAAAAGTAAAGGGGACATATTCTCAAAGTTAACGATGGTAAAAGTGCCAGATTTAATTCAGTGGTCACCTGGTCTTGAAAACGAATGCAGAAGTCTATGCTTAAAGAGTTGTTCTTGCTTAGCCTATTCTTATGACACTGATATAGGTTGTATGTTCTGGAGTGAGAGCTTAATTGACATTCAACAATACCAAGCTGATGCAGGTTTAGATCTCTATGTCCGCGTACCCTACTCAGAGCGAGGTATTTTCTGGGAATTCTGTTCGCACTTTCCCAGTATGTTTTTCGTTTCTTTGTTTTTCAACTTTCGTTTTTTTTTATGTTTGTTTTGTTTCAGATAAGAAGAAAGACAAGAAAGTGATTATCATAGTTGCGGTGATAATCAGTTTGGTGGTTGCATCCGTTGGTTTATTTTTATCTTGGCGGTGGATGTCTAAGAGAAAAGTGAAAAATGTAATTGTACTAAAAGAATCAGGGGATTCAAACTCGTCGGATTCAACCTCGATTGTGCTTAGAAATCCCGAAGACAGAGTCATTATTGAAGAGTTACCATTATACAGTATTGAGACTCTTGTAAATGCGACAAACAATTTTCACACGACGAATAAGCTTGGTGAGGGTGGTTTTGGTCCTGTATATAAGGTAATTTTCGTGTTTATGTATTGGTTCCCTATTGCTTTTACTTTATATGAGATACTTAATGTTAGAAATGAGTGATGTTTATATGTAGGGAAAGTTGGCAAACAGAAAAGAAATTGCAGTCAAGAGGCTTTCTACAGCATCAGGACAAGGAATGGAAGAATTTATGAATGAAGTTGCGGTGATCTCTAAACTCCAACATCGAAACCTTGTTCGACTGTTGGGATGTTGTGTAGAGAGAGATGAAAAAATGTTGATCTATGAATATCTGCAAAACAGAAGTTTAGATGTCTTTCTCTTTGGTGAGTTTCTCTGTTTTGTGCTACATTTTATTTAGTAAAAAATTTATTATAGACCTTCTGATATCAATTATGCATATAGATCAATCACAAATGGTTCTCGATTGGAGGAAACGATTCAATATTATTGAAGGTATTGGCCGAGGACTCCTTTATCTACACAGGGATTCCAGGTTGAGGATAATCCACCGAGATTTGAAGCCAAGTAACATATTGCTTGATGATGACTGGAATCCGAAAATCTCAGATTTTGGAATGGCACGAATATTTGGAGGCAATCAAGATCAAGCCAACACTAAAAGAGTTGTAGGAACATAGTAAGCATATGCTGAATTGCTACATTTACATTGTTGTAATCTTAGTATTTGTTTTTGACATGATCTTAATGTAATGTTGCAGTGGATACATGTCCCCAGAATATGCTTTAAGCGGCATATTTTCAGAAAAATCCGATGTTTTCAGTTTTGGAGTTCTAGTATTGGAGATCATTAGTGGAAGAAGGAACACAAACTTCTACAATGAAGAGCTATCTTTAACCCTTTCTGGAAATGTAAGTTCTATCAAACTCTTTCTGTGCATGTTTGATACGCCATGCAACATAAAAGATTTTAATTTATTTTTCTGATGCCTAACTGAAACAACCTTCTGTGTCTAATGGAACGTGTTACGTTCATATTCTTTCAGGCATGGAAATTATGGAACGAGGACAAAGCCGTGGAATTCATAGATAAAAGAATATCAAATCCAAGCTTCGATACAGAAATCGCGAGATGCATTCACATTGGATTGTTGTGTGGCCAAGAATCCCCCGTAAATAGGCCGACTATATCAACCGTCCTTTCAATGCTCAGTACCGAAATTGTTGATCTGCCATTGCCCAAGGAACCATTATTTACAGATAGGTGGAATCATGCTCATTCAGGATCTTCTTCAAGACAAATTGGCTCTGCCAACAACATTTCTTTTACAATTCTTGATGGCAGATGAGATGAGAGCATTCTCAGAATTAATGCTCTGATTATCTTTATTTTTACCATTTGCTAATCAATTGTTTTCCTCTTCATAACAATCACAAAAGGAAAACGTATTGTACTGAAGAAATTAGGAAGTAAGTTTTTTTTGCCAACAAATTTTGTAATATTATATACTTATAACAGTGTACAGATTTCAATTCCATACAGATGGCACTTATGAATTTAAAAGAACACAAGGCAGAAAAATATTTAGAATAATCAATAGGATGATCATTTCAAACCTGGTAATAAGTTCTGTAATCTAAATATTTAATAGGACATTTATTCATTTGGCAGGATGCAGTTTTTACATCTTCTACTCAAATAATTTTGGGAGACCAGAGCTAATTAACATACATTTGACCTTTTTAATAAGGCCCCATTCATTCTTTCTGCTAGTTCATTTTGCTAAGGTGTATATGTTACATTTATATGCCCAAGAATCCATTTTCTTTACAGAAATATTAAATGCAAGGTCATTATCTGTTCTAAGAGTCTCCATTTCCCAGTTTTCAAAATTTGAACAAGTATCAGATTTGTTCTTTGACAAAATAACCCAATTTTTCTAGAGAAGTCATCAATTATTAGAAGAAAATATTTAAAACCAGAATAAGTACACATAGCCCCAACGATCAGTACCCAAGTAATCTAATACAAATATAGATTTATTTCCAAAAGAAAAATGCAACTTATTTTGATTTCTCAAAATGCATTGTTCACAAAATAACTATTTTTAAATTTTTTCTTAACAAAAAAATCCCTATTTTTTTTTTCAATATTGCAGACTTTTATCAGTTATATGACCTAGTTTTTTATGCCAAATTTCAGATTATCATTTGTGATACTGTAATACCAAGTAAATCACCCACCAAGGGTGCAACCTTTAACACTCGAATCTCATTAGTATTAGGTGTTAATGATTTCTGTAAAATTATTAAGAATTTTCCCTTTTTAATGATTATTTTGAAACTCCCAGAATTCCTTGTGAAATGAAAGTTCTCCTTAAATCTGATATATATCTAATTTTTTCAAGAATCAGACGCATTGACCAAATTTTAAATTATTTTTTCCTTTTATTTTGCAAGAAAAATCATTTTCCTTAGTTATTTGACCACCTTTAATTTTTAAAAATGAAGAAAACCGTTCATTACATGAAGACATATGAAATGTACACCCTAAGTCAAGAATGCACTCTTTATTTTTAACTAGTGAGGCAAATGTGCGTTGCACGTTAATTGGATAATATTAAAAATAAGTGTGCAACAAAACAAAGAATAAGTCTCGACATACAAATTATATTTACAAACTCGACAAACAAATAGAAACCAATTTGAGGATT